TTTGACCCTGAGTCACCCCCAACAATTCAGCTGGGCCTCCCCAGACCCGAACACCAAATGATACACTTTTTTTATTCTTCAGACTTGGCTAAATGGTCAAAATCAGTTTTGTAGTGTTTATATAGCTGCTGTGGAGGACATCATGAAGCCTTGTTCCGATACCAAAAAATAGAGCGTAGTTATTATATCATTTTAACTTGAAACGGGTCAAGGGGAGACCTGAACACAACGTAAGGGTTACATATAAATTGGGATACATTTTACTAATCAGAAATGACAGTGAGTTCCCACCACCTGAAGACATTGTTACTTAGGACATTGTGTGTGATTGTTACCCAAACCTTAAAGAGGAACTGCACACATGTTACACATATACGTCTGTTTACAGGTCTCCATGAGCATTACTCCATATTTTGTTGAGAGAAAGAGAGAGCTTTGAAAAGTCTAATAAATCTACTAGCATGACAAATTCCACATTGAGTTTTTACAGAGGCGCCAGTTTTTTCAATACTTGCATGGAATAAAAACGATTATATTTCTGGCTCTGCTTCTTTGATTTTAACCGAAAAAATCTGTCCCTGAATTCAATAATGGTAAAGATGACTGAATATGGGGGGTATCCACATATAGTTGATTAAAATAAGAGGTTCATTCCCACTTAAAAAACCAAACAAGCGGCTGTTTGTTTCAGTTCAAAGCTGGTATCTCACCTTTATGTTGCTTTCTCCTTAAAATGGCCATATGAAAATGCAAATGGCTGAAAGCAATCTTATCAAATTGTTACAAAGAGAGTGCTATACACACACATCTACATATGTTTATTAGAAAGACTGCATTCAACATGGTTTAACATGTTTTCTGTTGGTTTGGACATTGAAGCCATTGGTCCAGAACAGACTTTGGTCGACCTGCTCTCCTCCCTCACTTCCCCTCTCTAGTAACCTTCTTCCTTTTCTGTCTGCATGCTTTGGTCAGGAGTTAGCGGCTCGTCTCCATGCTCAGTTTCCGGAGCATTATCCAGACAACAACCACAAGCCGGAGATGGCCATCGCCCTCACCCGCTTTGAGGGCCTCTGCGGCTTCAGACCGGCGGAGGAGATCCTGGGGTTCCTCAAATGTGAGTCCCAAAATCCCACAGGGTCATTAAGAGGATTTGGGATAGATGTTTGGGCAGTTACTAGAGAAACAAGGATAGACGGATGGATTTGGGATAGATGTTTGGGCAGTTACTAGAGAAACAAGGATAGACGGATGGATTTGGGATAGATGTTTGGGCAGTTACTGTTAGAGATTTGGAGGGATAACTGGTCCGCTTTTCAAATCTCCGCGCGTTCCTATGAAGCTGGTTATAATACAGGAAGGAATCCATATCTACAAAGTAACCGTTAACAATAATCTACTTTAATGGCAATATGACAATGCAATACAATCATTACAATACAACATGATATATTACAGTTATATTGCAATGCTTAAGGAGTAATGCCGGCTTACTCCTGCTCTAGTCCGCATACTGCAGAGCTACTTTCACCCGAGCGCAGCATGTGAAGAAGAGGCCGAACGCCAGGGATCCACCGGAGATATACCAGAGTAAGAAGGAGGGGTTTGGTGTTAGGTCAGCTGGTCATCTTTTCAGGTCATCTCATTGGGAGACGCAACGCAGCAGGAAACGCAGCAGGAAACCAAACAGGCTCACTTTCCAACAAAAGGTCTCAAGGCCTGCATACCTACACCTCCCCCACAGAGCCATAAAACCCTGTTTACTCCAACCAGCCCAGAATGTTTATAGCCATTTGTAGTCCTTACATTTATGAAAGGATAAAACAGAGAAATCAATATAAAACACAAACACAGGTATTGTTTGAACAGTATTCACTTAACTGCTACTATTGATAAGCACCAGAGAAACCCAAGGGACCTCCCTTAACATCACAAACACTGCAGCTAGATCTAAGTTGAATGCAAATCAGGACATGCTCTCCCCTTCCCCCATCTTCCTTTGTCCTCAAAAACACATGTCAACAGGCCCCAAATGCAGCTCACAGTTTTACCCAAATTATTCTCATTTTAAGCTTATCCATAGTTTGCTAACATGAATAAATACAAATATAACTCTACAAATCCCCCTTTTTATCTCCTTCTCCAGAGATAAACTTAGACAAGGCATTTTGAAATATACCCACGGTCATTATTTTCTACTGTGTCCGTAAATCCATCCGAAGCTGGTATTCAGAGTACTTGAAACCTTCATGGAGACCGAACACCACTTTCCATGGCAGTGAAGGAACCATGAGGGGGTAGCTGAGTGCTAGAATCATCAGCCCCCCCCCCCCGAGGAATAGCCCACAAGGACAGCTAATAGGGAGGGGGAGATGCAGCTTTCCCTTCACGGGTAGAACTGATCAGAGCGAAGTAGACTCCTCTGCTGCGCCGTCCCGGCTTGCCGTGTCTTTGTCCACCCAATCCGCTGACAGCAGCTTCTGGGCTGCCTGCTAGAGAGATGTCTTCCTCCTCCTCGTCCTCCGGCCCGCTGATGGCGGCTTCCGGGTCGATGCTGTAGAGATGTCTCCAGGGTCCTCCTTCTCCGGCCCGCTGATGATGCCTCCCGGGTCGTCTGCTGTAAGGATGTCTCCAGGGTCCTGCTCCTCCAGTCTGCTGCTTCCGAGTAGTCCACGTCTGCCAGGGCCACGTCCGTCCTGATGTCGTCCCCTGGTCCTAGTAGGTGGTTTCCCCGCCGCACACTGGCTCCCGTGGTACGAGCTGTCCCCCTTTTCTCCCAGGCAGACGGCATAAGAGGTCCGCTGGGTCACTCGGTCGGGGTCGGAGAGCCTGGGGTTGAGCCACTTTGTCCTCGTGCTTCTCGGGTCCCCCTTTTGGCGCCGGTGACCTGTGTGGAGAAATCTGATACAACTCCCTCAAGCCTACGCTCAGCTGTTTTGACCCACTTGGAGCCTGTTGGTGGGGTGTCTTGAAACAACAGCCGTCTGTGAACAGGTTTTCCAAATTAATTGTAGACCTCCTATCTGCCAGTGCAGCTTCAGAATCTTAATACTTGGATTGTGCCAACTAAATAAGAACCTCAACATCTTTAGGTAAACTAAATAACATATTTCAATAGCTCTGAATTTCTGACAAGCATCTGTGTTTATTTTTAAATGAAATCCTATTTAAAATCCAAACATAATATGAACTACTAATGTTTCTGGTAAAGAAACACACTAATGTTATGGATTCAAAAACAACCAAAATCACGATGCTAACAAAGTGAATGATTTCCTGGTGATACTGCTTCTACCTGTCAGTGCTTAGATATTATCACGCTGAAAAAATGAATACAGAATTCCAACAAACTGTCATCAAATGTCTTTCTATTATAAATTTAGATGAAATGTATATCCCCATAATGACCTAAACAATAAAGTCTATGGCTTTTACTCCTTTACCAGGCTAGTTACATGATGTTGTCTAAATTAAATTCTGTCTCAATACACTACTATGTTTTAGCTTTAACTGTAATATGTTCTTTCTACATTTCAAACCTCAGTTACTCTAATGTCTGTTAAAATATTACAAAATTGTTTCATTATCACAGGTCAACTTCTTCGGTTTCACAGTAGCCCCTTGGCCACTGCTTCTTTGTTACCTGTTATAATTCAAATCAATATTTAGAAACATCTCAACATTCATCAAACAGTATCTTATCCCCAGATATGGAGCAGGTTAATTACATTCAATGCTCAATCCTTAAAAAATGTAAATTGTGAATTTTACAGCCATGTTGACATTTATACATTATACTCACTCCCCCTTTTTACACATGAAATCATGTGTAACAAAAGCCTGTAATGGGAGGGGAACAAAAACTGTCAGGTAATTGGTTAGGGACATAACGAACATTATTATCATTATTTCCACAGTGAACACTTCAGTGAAAAGAAGTGTTCCTCTCCGTCCTTCAGGCCTAAAAGAAACAGAATCTTCAGATTGTAGTTTTACATTTGCAAACCGCCAACTCATGTGAGAGGAAAATATCACATGTGCGGTTTCCCCTTTTTGTGGAATTTTTAGGAAACCTCTCGTTTCCCTTGGAGCTCCAAAATAATATGTTAGTCCAAAAACATGCTTGGTTAGTTATTGTTTTAGAATCATGCAGTTACACTGATCACATGCCGGCATTCATTCACACTCACACTGTCTGGTTGTCATGTCAAGTTTGGTCAGGTTCACCCCAGAGTCAGTCATCCACAGTGCCTTGTCAAGTTACACTGTCGGTCAGGGTCAAAGGTCAGTTGGTCTCCGTCTTTTTTGGCCATGTGTCGTGCTCTGCAGAGACTTTGACATTTCAGCATAGGCCAGTATCCTTTGTCTACAAAAATATGTCACGATTTCAACTATAATTTTCAAGATGATTCTCACTTGTCATTGGGACTTCCGCCTCCCACTTTTCCTGAAACTTGGTACAAAACTCACTTCCTTCGAGTACCACTACTAATTAAAATGTCTAATGATCTATTTCAGAAACTTTTGTACAATAACTATTATCTTGAGTCAAAACATTACTAGGATCTGTGTCGCTCTGCATTTCATAGCTCATTATAATTCTGGTCTACTTAAAAAACAATGATAAACTCTTTAGCAGTGTGTGGAACCTTGGGTGTCCGAACATGCAACAATTACTCCCTCCTTTATCAAGGATTTAAAACCGAAGTCTGGTAATAACTATGCCACAATGGTGAAATCAACACTTTAGATTGGAATTTAATATGTGGCTTGGCACTAGCCATTAATACAAACAAAGATTTGTCCTATAGAGTGGTTCCTAAAACTATCCTTTTAATGGTGATCAATATTGTAACCAATGAGACCGCTACTTTATTCACACATGAATAAAAATGTCTTAAAGAATGAATTGTTAACATGATGAAAATATTGAAGAATATGGTTCTACTCTGTCAGTGTGTTTTAGGATGATTATCATTTTACTTTAATAGTTTCCTCTTTACTGCTATTTTTAATTTACCAAATGATTAATAAATCTTTCTGTCTTTACGTATTTATGAAGTTAATTCAAGTTATTTAAATGTGCGTTTCGTGAATAAGTGTGTTTATGTGTAACTCACTCATTCCCGTTCTCCTTTCCTCCTCCCCTGGTTTTCTCAAGCCGTGACCCCGGCCTCCTCACTTCTAATCGACCATGCCAACTCCTCTGATTCTGTCTTCTCTTCAGTCCATCAGCTGTTGAATCCATCCGCTGTAACTTTTGTAGGCAGCCATTGGCCCAGTCACATCTGCAGCCCCATCATGCCACTGTTGTTGCACTCCTCCTTTACAGTCTCTCTGCTGTTTTTATGGAGGGCGGATTCTGCTCTCATGTCTATTGTGCCAAATCTCGCGGCGCAGTTTGGAACTTCATGTCCTGTTTGAGGGACCGATGAGAGTATCTCTCTGTATGTCAGCATGCTGGTTTGGTTCTGGATGCCACAGGTGGAGATAGTTCTGGCTGCAGTCTTGATGTAGTCTTGTTGTTGTTGTTGGTTCAGCTCTGGTTCTCTGTCTGTACGATGGAGAAGGAGGAGTCTCCTGTTGGGTTAGGTCTCGTTGTCTGCTTGGAGGGTCGGGATCAAAGCCTTTCTAACTCAGAGGGGGAGTCCAGGTCCCGGTACACATTACCTATAAGAAGTCTAGCACACTGATGTTAAATAAATCCAACCCTTTCCACTCTGTCTCTTTCTAATCATACTATCTGTCTTAGTTGTTAAATGCCATCTAAACAACATAATTAATGTCTACTTATGATATTACAAAAACTAACTCCAAAAATTGTTTCATCCATTGTTACATATTTACCCAACACAACTCTGAAATACTTACATGTTTCCAGCATCACATATTCCACACACTATGAAAGAACATCTCCATATCTTCTCTCATTTTAAATCCCACTGTTACTTCGAACAATAGTAAACCTGCAGAGCACACCAATCGGATCACAGTAATGAAATTTGAATCAAGTGTAGGCCTATGTCTTCTTTCTGAACATTTATTTATATTGTCTACATTTGCAAACAGTTCGAGTGTAAAATGTGTTTTGCACAATGTATTTACACTCTACAGATT